GGCTTTTGTTTATTTTTTTATTTTAACAAAATTACACTGCTTTCAGATTCTGTAATAAAAATAACTTTTCTGATGTACAACATAATATAATAGATAATTTTGTATAAATACCACCATGGATGTTTAAAAATTACAATTTTCAATCTAGATTTATTCTACGTTTTGAATATAATATCATAATGGAAGTTTGTTTTAAAATTGAAAAGGAATATATATTTTTCAAATTTTTAATGTTTTGAAGGATTATATATGCCGGCAAAATGGACATATTCTCGGCGCAACGGAGACATTATTTTTCTGTACCTCTGTCTTTGTCTTGAAATGTAATTTAAATATACCAATCATTTTATTTCAATTGCTATCCAATCTATTCTGCTTCAAGCAGACCTTTCAATCTTTATCCAACAGACAAACACTTCAGAATTTCAGATGTGCAACATTATACAATATATATTGGTGCTTTCTAAGATAAACCTATAAATTGTAAAGAACGTATTAAACAAAAATGTAAACCTACCATGCTTAAATATTTTATGAAGAAGAGCATCCGCTAATATTTTGTGTTCTGGTGCCACTGAAACACTTGTTATATCTCTTGCAATATTTCATAGTAATTTCGCAAATGCAAACTGAGTTCACTAAACTTAACATATCCAAAACATGTGTCCTTAACTTGTATCGATCAAAATTCGATAGCTTGAAGCAAACATTCATACTGGCTTCCAATTAAAGCTTGTATAAATTTCTAGATGATAGTATATAATTTAATGCATGTACAATTATTTTATTGAATGCATTAACTTACTTAATCAATCAATCAATCAATCAATCAATCAATCTGTTGAATACTCAAATCTCAAAACGCTCTTAAATATCCTTCAATCAGCTAGTGGGTGTTATGTAATGGCATTTAATAGATATAAGACGTTTGTCAGATAGAAGTTTAAGTGTAATAAAATTGTGGAATTAACTTCCTAGAGACCTTAGACAAAGCAAATCTGTAGAAATTTTCATGACACATTTGAAAACTTCTATCTGTAAGGACTTCTTTTCCTTATTCTAAGCACTGACTTTAACGGTTATATATATACTTTGAACTGTGGTTACAAAACTGTCATATATAATTGCAAAAAATATACTTTACTGTAATCTTTTATTTTACACTTGTATTGCATGAAGTAAATTTATATTTTTGTGTATTGGTGAGAATTTTATTCACTAATGTGAATGTCCTTTAAATAAAATATGTACATCGGCATTGAACATGTTTTGTACGTAGAAATAGGTGTTTTATCGAATGGTAGAGATATTTGCTTATAGTTATTGTGCAAGGACGTCTTTCTCTCACTGAGTTGTTTAAATAAGATATGGGCCGCCCCATAAGAAAACCAACATAGTGCAAAAAATGACGTCACTGAGAAAACGTTTCTTGAATCTGACGTCAAAATATGCACGCTTTTTACCAATTTAACGCGTACACAGTTCCTACTTACCACTGTGAGTGCGCGTCGTCTCGCCCAGTATATCTATGGTGATATATTTTCGACGCAGGACAGAAATTTCAGAAATATATGTATAAATAAAACGTTTTCATCAAACCTTTATATTTCATAATGTTTAAATCAAAGGTAGCAGAACTAAGCTCCACTTAAATTTACGAACCGACACGTTATGCCTGTCCGCTTTCGTCTTAGCAGTAGCTTATTAAAATCTATCATGCGTTCGTTTACGATATATATTTATTTTAGTAGAGTATTTGTACGTATCTATCTCTTAATATAGAAAGATTGACATTCACAATACAGCTTTCTAAGTGCTAAATAATTTATAAATGTTAATCAAAGACGCAGTTTGGCAATAAACCACATAATTTCTGCATCTCGTTTATATTTTAATTATTTGAAATAATTATTTAGATAATACTCCAGTAAGATATTAATAAAACTACATTTACTTTCAATAGCAAGAATGCAAGACTGTGAGTACGTTTTTTTTTCACTGCAGGGATGTTCAGCCCTGTCTTCTTAAGCGGTTAATGATATTTTTGTAATTGTATATAAATGCATTAACACAGTCCAAGTACAGCGATCCGTAGCGTCACATTTTTAACAAAAAACGGCCACATTACCAGAAACTGTCCGATTATATGGCATAAAAAGTAAAAGGGACTCACTAATACAGAAAAGCAATCGCACATCTATTGAAAATAAGGTAAAATCACATCGGCCATACGATGGAAACAATAAGAAATAATGGAGCAGGCGGCAAACAGCGCCACGACAGACGTTGCTCAATAACGCAGCTTAAGATCCCGTATGTTGTGATCAAAATTGTAAACCACACTAATTGAAATTATATATAATTATGTACATAACTATGCAAATAAAACAATTTTCAAACATCGAAGAATATGTAAAATATGTACTTCAAATATTTCTGCATATTATTTGTTATCATTAAAATATATGCATTCATTTCTTATTGTAAAATTTGACTTAAACTTTATTGAAAATAATTTTTATTACCTCCCTTTATTTTATTAATTTAAAACCGTAAAAAAGATTTTGTTACAGGATCTTTGATTATATAATACCAGTAAACCTTTTTTCTAACTAAGAAATATCGTACTTAACATTAAGGGCAAATATTTCCGGACGATGTTTTGAATGTAGGGGATTTGTTCTGTTCAAAGATGGTTATCATTTACGAGAATCGTATTTTTGTTTAATAAACACTTTTAGATAAGTAATTAGCCAAGGAAAAAAACTGGTTCATTAGAGTTAAATGATAATAATCAAAGATGAATGTAAAAAAATAAGTAAGTCATGACAATTGTGAAGGTGTAAACATATCTACCGTATCAATTTATAAAAAAAACCGATTTTGCGACAAAAGAAATGACAAAACGAACAGGAAAAACTGATTATGACTGTAGTCAACTAAATAAAACAGATAAAATATTTTTTCTTTACAATCTTAATATTAAAGTAAACAATCAAGTTCAGGAATTTGACTATCACGAAGAAATGAAGAGGTAGTGCTGAGCTGTTGAAATTTCTTTAAGTTCAGATTGTAGTTTGATGTTTTGTTCGTTAGAAAAAGAACTGTGTACATTATCCTGTATGACATTCACGGTATTCATACATGAAATACGGGAACAAAACAATAATTGCTAAAAATGTGCAAGGAGCTAACCTGTTTTGCACTCGTATACAGTCTATTCCCGTCAGTTATGTACGTCTGTACAAAAACGTTTTACACTCCTTGTGTAATTTGTCTAAACAATAATACTGAGCAAATATGATAATTGTCTCAAGAATTGCGATTACTTGTTTAATTAAACTAAATTTATGCATGTCTCTAATTGTGGCATATCTATTTGCTACCATATAAAAGTGCATTTGACCTAGTTACTAAGAATATCATTGGAAATATGCCACATAGAAAGCATTCTGGCTCAAATTTATATGCATCTTATCATTTATAATGTGAAAAACAGGGATGTCGGTTAATGTAGCTTGTTCTATAATGAGAACATGTTCCATAAATATTTTAAATATTGATTAAAACAATAGAGTTACATTGTTCATCATTTGGATATTCCTATTCAGAGAAATCCTAGTAGCGGAAGTAGATTCAAACGCTCAACAATTGTTTTATATTTACTGACAATATCTGTCATGGTGAAGGGTCTCTAGCAAATGAAATTGTAGTATGCACAGTAATGTCAAAATTACAATTGTCATTGCCCTGAATCATATATCTTCTACATTTTCACTGAAAAAGATGACAACGGAAATGACACAATTCATGGATTTTTCACTGAAAACCTATGCATATCATATATGAATGCATATCAGACAAACGGCAGACTGACGTGTTTTGGGGGCAATTTATCAAAGAAAAATCATAATATAGGCACACATTTTATGTCCCTATTTAAAACGTTAGTGCATACTTTGGAGGCATCAGGCTGCTTATATGTCCACCTGCATGTTCATCACTTCTTAAGTGTTCTGTCAATAGATTGGCTAGGTATAAGCCGTTCTTTATACAACTTGGAATGAATGTTGCTCATGGCCAATTGATGATATCTATTAATTTTGGGGACACTGGTCACCATTGCGAAAATTGAAAGATTGTCTGACCAGAATATAATGTCTACTGTCCTACGATATGACGTGTAGGTTGAGCATGACTAGTTGATGACTAGTCAATAAATTACGGTCAATGTGATCAACAGTCTTACCATTCTGTGTGGAGGTTGGCCAAAATCAAGGTCCAACTAATAACTTAAAAATGCGTTGACCTGACCTATAGTCCTAAGATTTTACTTGGTGGTTGGTCGTGACTACAAAATGACCCATATTGAGAACATTTGATAATTCCCCCTCGAAAAAAAATCTTTTTAGAGCCATGAAGATCCTGGTACCGGAACCTTTACTCACTGACCAGTTTTAAATGAATAAATATATATTCCCTAGCCAATACCCCTGTTATCAATAAACATATCATTTAATCATTTTAAATGGAAGCTTGTGCGGTTTATGTGTCCTTAGCAGTCATTTCCTTGCGTTTAGAGGTATTAGATCTGTAATTCAGTGGAATGACCTTGGTGATTTTGACGATGGCATATATACCTACCATTTTGAGGCTGAGGAACATTCACCAACTCATATTTTTTCAGTAAATATACAACAAATGTTGGGCATTTAAATCTGTTTCCACTACTTCGACTTCTGAGCATGTCGAATCATACATATTGTATTCATAGTAATTGGGTGGAAAAAGTACTTAAAAGGTATTTGTATATCTATTTTGCTCCATTTATATAAAAAGAAAATAAAAGAATCAGTGTCTTTTTGTTACTGTCATGAATCTCAATGAGGTTAGGCCTTTACCACATTCGGTATCTTCACACCTCGCCCCTAGGTCATCTTTATACTGCTTGTCATTTATTTTAATATTGAACTTATTTCTTTGTCGTTGAATTATGTTAGATAGCAAGTTAACTTTGCTAACTAATTAAATTCATATTTCAGATTGAAGTGACAATGCAGTTAAATTTGATCGCCAGCATTCTTCTGGTGTGTAATTTTGTTGAAGCTTTAGATGTCAAAGTAGTAGAACTATCTTACGAGCTTGGACCAGAAACATTGTTCTACCCAGGAAGTCCACCATTTGTTTTAACTATCCTACATCGCGGTATCACTGGAGCATACTGGTAACAAAATTTCTATTTTTGATAAAAATTTTATAGTTATTGTAATGTTTCATCAAAACGAAATTAAAACATGAAAGGTAATCTTTTATACCTACAATAGAAAGTTACTTAATACAATTTTTATCTCCCTTTTCATGTATAGATATCACATTTTCGTAAAACAAATAATTTTCGTTGAAGCTTTTTCACTTTATAGATAAACCTATTTAAACATTTCGAAGTTTATCGTGACAGCTTAAATATTATTTTAAAGGTTTGAGCTAAACAAATTCGAAGCAGGAGAGCACGTTGGAACCCATTTGGATGCACCCTCCCATTTTTCCGAGGGTAAATTGAGAATGCATGAAATTCCAATGGAAAAATTAATAGGACCCGGTGTCATAATTGACGTTAAGGTAGGGGTTATTGTTTTCTTTGGTGTTTTACCTGGAAATATGGTTGAACAGTTAACTGGCTAAAGAACTCCTGAATATATTATTTTGAAGTTTGTCACTCCATATGTTGTTTGACAATTGATTATAGCTAACCAACACTTGTCAATATTCAATCTATTTCAACAGTTTATTGCATAAAGCATGTAGATACAATGCATATATAGCTCAATACAATTTAACATTTCATGATATTGAGTACATTAAATGTTTTCAGAGAAGACAATAATATTTTGTATAAAAAAATGAATTTAAACACAATATTTTTGTTAAAATTGTGTAAGTTTTATTATATCTGGTAAACATATAATAAAAATAAAATTTGAACTGACAAGAAACTTTGGATCAGCCGAGTACAATTACTGAAGTGCAGTTACATAACTTTGTGTAATAAACTGCTCATTGATTTCATTCTTCATGAAGAAAACTTTGAAACTGGTTGTCATCTAAAAATCATTAGGAGGATACACCTTAAGGAGAAAGTTATAATATTTTAAGAAATTAGTATTAGTTTTTGACAGTATTGACACTGTGCGTGCAATCAGTTTCATATCTTCTCTCAGGCCGTTTCTATTTCAAAGACTTTTCTTCTCTAAAACCGCTTAGTTATCACACTGAGACCTTGTACATAATAAAACTTATTCCACATGCACTGTTTAAAAGAAAATGACCTAGTCCAAGGTCAACTTTTCAGTTATAGAATCTGCATTATTCTATGAATTAGATTAATATTTCTATTTTAGGATAAAGTAGAAGGGAATCCGGATTTCAAAGTCAGTATTGGCGACATTATAGCGTGGGAGATGAAACATAAGAAAATTCCTGAATGTGCAATCGTTATCATGAATTCTGGATGGGGGAAAAATTACCCAAACAAAGCGCTAACATTTGGCACCCCGACCCCAGAGGACCCGTCGACCTTCCATTATCCAGGCTGGCATACAGAAACTGTGGATTGGTTGATAAAAACAAGACATGTCTGTGTTGTCGGCACTGACACTCCTTCGAATGATCCCGGAGATTCAACTTCCTTTCCGGTTCACCAGACACTTGGTGCAGCAAACGTTCCGGGGCTGGAAAATGTTGCCAATTTGGATTCAGTTCCGGAGAGTGGTTCGACTATATATGTGGCGCCTATAAAGTTGAAAGACGGGAGCGGAGCACAAGCAAGAGTGTTCGCTACATTTTCGAATGTCGGTAAACACGAATATTATCAAGAACTTTAATTAATATTATCTGTATTTCAATATAATAATGCTATAATTGCGTTTTCAAAATAAATACTATTTGTACAAAATATCTTAAAATCTGATGAAATTAACAGGTTTGTCAAAGAATCGCCATTGTTTTAACCTGGCATTTGCTGACTCAACTATCCAGCGAATTTTAGTGACAAGTCTAGAGTTATTTGCATCTTCTGCAGAAAGCTGTTTTTCACCGTTCGGTAAGAAAGATGGCATCTTTGCGTCAATACCTAGTTCTTTGAGGATGTTTAATGAATCGCGGAAACCACGATCAACAACGAAAATATCACCTTTTCTGATCCAATTTTTTATCTCTTCAATATTACATTTCATCATATGATTTAATATTTTTGCGTCGGAATTCTTTCCATCAGCTAAATAAGGGCCAAGAACAGATACTATATATCCTGTTGTAGTAACAACCATCATTGGTTTGACGAGTGACCTCCCTTTATGAACACTGTATGTACGTCTTTGAAATTTGAAATTGGAGCTTTTATGGATATATAGGTATGTGCCATCAAGTACAAGGATAGCAGGAGGACTGCATTCATTTTGGCCAAATATTGATACCGCAAGAGGCCGTGTATGTTTCTGGACGACATCTTCTCGATTGACGTGATTGAAACCAATATTTTCAAAAACAAATTCTTTCGACAATTGTTTTCTTATTGAAGCAAATGAGCGCCTAACTTGAGATTTTGTCATGTTGAAAATGGTGCCAAGGATACGATTAGAAAGGCCTGTTCTAAGCTTTGTTAGAAATACTCCTAAAGAACCACGAATACTTCTGTTTTGTGACTTTTTACTGTTTTTTATATAAGTAAGAAGATCGTCAAATTGTGCCCTATTCAACCCAGTGAGACTTTCATAGTCGTTATCATTCATACCGTTATCGTCAAAATCAACCCGTTTATTTCTGTTGTCCTTGGCAGCCTTTCTAATATTTTCTATAAGGGTATGCACTTCCTCGCATGTAAAATGGGAAACATTGCGTATATTTTTATTGTTTTTCAGTAACATAAACGCTTCCTTGCAAAATGAATTTTCTGTTAAATGTTTTGGGCAGCATCTAGCCCCTTTTGCCAGGATAATGTTTAGCTCTATAAAAATATCGTGTCTGGCTTCCTTTTTAATTCGCACCAATTTTGGACCGGGCTTGCCGCAAATAAAACAACGAGAATGGGACTGGCCTGTTGTAGATATTGGTAGAGCAATTTTTTCTTCATCGGTTTGAATTAATTTTCTTTTAGCAGATAATGTTGTTTCGTTCGACTTTAAATTCAACGCTTTATTTGATTGTTTTGTGTCATTCTGCTTTCGCATTTCAAGATAATATTTTTGTCTACATTTATTGCACGCTACTGAATTATCACTGACTGTTAAGAAAAATGATTTTTCAAGGTATCGTTTCAGATCTTTATTTCCAACTATTGGTCTTCTTTCTTTTTGTGTCACACGCTTATTGCACACAATACAGTGCATATAATACGGGTTCATTTTTACTATTTTGATTTCGGATTCTTTTAACCATTTAACCTAGAAACAAAAATAAAATACATATACTTTAACTATCTAATTTACCATAATCAACTAAATTGATTTAGTATGAATAAAAACATTAAATCTATAGCTATAGTCTGATTTTATTGACCTGTCTACGAATACATTATAGCGCTAGCTAATTTGAATATTCGATTCCACTTCGGTTCTGTCCGTATAGCTTACGAGAATTAGTAGGCAGTATAATAACTAATGTTTGGAAAATTCACACTAGTGTAATCAAGGGGGAGAATCACGCCGTTCGTTACCCAAACAAACAAGATGGCGGATGCAGCCAAAAAGTAGGTTTTTCCCTTTTTTCTCTGAAATTCGTGATGTTCTAATGTAAAGGTACATATAACAACCTTCTCCACAATTTTTCTGGCACACAGGATTTTATTTCATGATGTTTCGTCCCGTACTTCATCTGAAATGCGCGTCACCAGATTCGAAGCGAGAGAATTTTCCACCGGTTTGATCGTGGTAACGTACGGCTTTTTCACTCATATTCACTGTTTCGTTTACATATATGTCAATTTACTGAAACCACTGACCTTAAAAAGTTGTAATATGTCGTCATCTAAGCATTCATGCCCATTCTGGCTAGAATAACCGCTGAAAATATTAATATCGGTGCATTTTCTGGAAATGATAACGTATGGCGCACAAAATATCAATGATAACGTACGGCGCATTTTTTTCTGATTAATTGATTTTCTATATAATAGAAACGTTATGTTTACAAGACATAACAGGAGGTGTAGAACCAAATAAAGAAACTGAAATAAATAATATAAGTGTCCAGCTTTATTTGTCATCCAATGAAAGCGCTGTATTTCTTAAAAATTCTTTCTGTAAATTTTCATAGAAGAACAAAAGTCGATGATATATCAAAGTCCATTCATAGCAGCCTTCTATTTTTCATTTAGTGCTTCATAGAGCCGCGTTTGAGCAAATGGACAGGTAATTAGACGAAATAAAGTAAGTTTTAAACCGTAACATACAGAAAAAAGAAAAATTCTCCGGTCGCTATCGCTCCCGTCGAAGTTTCTAATTTCTGTAGAACAACACGGATGAACACTAACATATACTTCGCAAACACTAGTTTAAGAGTAGTGTAATAATTTTTAAAACCGTTCTTGCATAAAGATAATGACGTTATCTAAGCGCATGAGCGGTCTAGCATTAAAGGTTTCAGACGGGTTTTCCGGCATGGATAGAAACATCGAAATCCAAATCCGATTTGAAACTTTATATAAGTAACACTAGAAATTAATAAGCAAATTCCAATGTCACTCTTTTATTGCTGATACCTGCAATACTTTTTAAAAGAAATTATTGTTTTTGTTGGGTCGTTTGTGGAAAAAAACGCCAGAATATGATAGGCAAATTCTTGCATGTAATCGTTTTGATCAAATTATGACGTTCCTTTCATTTACAATTATGAAATCCCCAATTGATGCGAAGGGACATTCATTTTCTAGGATATGTGTATACACATATGGTTTATGTATTGAAAATCGAATTATATACAACAATTTTGCATTAATGGATCATGTAATGTATGTTTCTTGTATGTATGTACATGTATATGTGTGTATGTATATGTATATACAAGAGACCTATAAGTTACTGGTTTAAAGATCAATTTTGATATGAAAATGTTCATTATGTAACTACTTAAGAAAACTTCGGCTGGTATTTACTTTATCAATCAAAATTGATCTTCTCCAAACTTTTTCATGATTTTTGATATTATGCATATATGTTTATATTTAATATTTCACGCGTTTCGATAGTAATAGCGTGAAATTATTGTCTATCGCGTTACGCATTCAAAAGGGTGAATACTGGTCAGTCGTGTTTAATGAATCGTGACTTAACTCAATATATATATTGTAATGTGTAAAGAGGGTCATTCTACCAGACGATTTCACAGAGACACGTTGTATAAATATTTTACACTTCCAATTTAGCACGTGGCGGCCGTTGCGACTCGGGATGGAAGAAAGCAGTATTTTATCTAGTTTAGAGTCTTTGTTAGATTCTAGACTGCAGACATTTGAGAAGAAAATAAACGAAATTTCACAAAATCAAATTTCGGCGTGTACTAGTGGTACTTATGTGTTCAAGAAGAAAGGCCACGAGCAACAGTTTATGGTGAACGCTAAAGTTATGGATAAAATGAGACAAGCAGACGGTTATCTTGCTACCATTACTGAGGAAGATTCGAATTCGTCTGCTAGCAGTGCCAGAGAAAAAATTTCAGAAGGTATGGACATTTTGTCACATCGTCAAAAATGTTTAAAATTGGCCGACAGTTCAGAGCATGGTTGGCGTGTCGTACAAGAGTACGAGTCTCATCCATTGGCAGATAACTCCGACGATGAGAAGAAAATCTACAAGGCACAAATTCAAGCAGATAGGAAGGTTCGTCAGGAACGTCGAGTACGAGCTAGACGCTTTTCACCGTACCCTGCTACTAAGGCGTTGCCAGCTTCAGATAGTCGTCCTCCGAATCAACAGACAGCAAACAGGAAACCAGGGCTATGCTTCAAGTTTGGGAAACCCGGGCATTGGCGGGCAGAGTGCCGCATGGACTTGCAGGCTGATAAGAATGGCAATACACAGATAAGTATAAATTATGGTTCATTTTTGTTAAATGGAGTTGAGGAGTCTGATAACTTTAATATTGAGAAAATGAAGTTAAGCTATAAATGCTCTAATGATTTGATAAAGAATGTTTCACATATGTCTGACAACGATAAGATTTTAGATAAAGTAGTGTCTCCGGTTGGGAGATTGCATAATTGCATTAAGCACTGGCAAGAGGCGGAGCCAGGTGAATATATTTTAAGTGTAGTTTCAGAACGATATAAGTTGCCTTTTAAAACATTACTGAAATCTGTTGAACTTACAAATAATAGGTCTGCCAGAGAAAATGCTGCATTTGTTTCGAGTGAGATTCGAACCCTTCTCACTAAAGGTTGTATAGAAGAAGTTACAGAGGCACCTTTTGTGGTAAACCCGTTAACTGTTGCTTATAATAGGCATGGTAAACCGAGGTTAGTCTTAGACTGCCGACATATTAATCCAGATTTATTCAAGTACAAATTTTGTTATGAAAGTCATGACTTGGCGAGACAAGTCTTTTCAAAAGGTGATTTTCTGTATACGTTTGATATTAAAGGGGCGTATCATCATATTATGATATTTCCCCAACATGCAACTTATTTAGGTTTCTCATGGACAGAATTGGGAAAGAAGAGATATTTTGTGTTTCGGGTTTTGCCGTTCGGTATATCTACCGCCGGATATATATTTACTAAGGTATTACGGGTAGTAATCAAGAAATGGAGAAATTTGGGGATGAAAATCATTTTGTTTTTAGATGATGGTTTAGGTGGTGCTAGCTCTCTTGAGATGGCCAGGGAAAACAGTATTTTTGCTAAAAAAGATTTGATTAGTTTCGGTTTTCTGTTAGCCGAAGATAAGTGTCAGTGGGAGCCGATTCTTCAGCAAACTATTTGGGTAGGCTATCTTTGGAATACATGTGAGGGTGTGCTGAAAGTAACGCAAGAAAGAATAGATCGGACTGAATCATTATTACAGTTTTTTATTACTTCTGTATGAAAGGGCGTAGTTTTGTTTTCGGTAAAAAGGTAGCATGTTTAACGGGTCATGTCCATTCAGAGCTTCCGTAAAAATGAATTTTAATACCAACGAAACTTTTATTTTATTTCAAATAGTATATGGTCTAGTCTTAAAATATATCTGACTCTTCCTAAAAGAAAAAAAGTACTGCAACAAACAAACAAGACAAAAAAGGGGGAAATCGGGAAATTTTATTGTTTAATCTTATTTCAATAACATAAAAATTACAAATCTGTTTTACGCGTACTATTGCTAATTATTCTGTATACCAACACTTAAATATTAAAGGTCACTTTACATTGGAAAAATAACGTTTTTTTTCATAATGTTGGCTTTATTTGCAAATCATTTTACTAAATGTTTGCATGTGTCACGTGTTTATTTGCATTGTCAATGTAAATAAGAGGAAGGGGGAAGGGGGCCGTTCGTGAAGCGTGCCTTTAAGCTTGTATAGCTCAATAAACAATAAAACTAGAATCTTTTAATTTATAGAATATATTCTTATAAACTAGGAACACTCTCGTCAAAAGGCTAGAACCTTCCCGTCGAAAAGAAAAGAAACTGTCGACGATAACAAAACATATTTCTAGCAAGAGATAAGAAAGCGTCTTACAAAAATAAACCAGTTTTACACCAATGTAAAATACTCCAAGATAAATGCAACGACATCATTTGTTACATTGCGCAAACTTGTACGTTTCCAGAGAGTCAACAAAAAAGGTCTTTGATTAAAGGTAAGAACAAATATGACAAAGTACAAAATATCTGGAAAAAGTGACCCCTCGCAAGCATTAAAAACAACAAAATTACATGAACATTGCAGACTTGGTATGAATTTAATTGTACTTCAGGGATGATAAAAATGTGCAACATCTCTCACGCTACCTAGCACCGGCTCAAGCGGCACTCAATTCTCTACACTGAAAGGACTAAGTGATCCCGAAGGACCAGAGAAATATAACAACACTGAACTGAAGTATGGGGTAACTGACACAGCACTTGATACCTGCTGTTATGATGTATAAATATCTGGAAATGTGATCCGTCCGTCGGAAGCATTAAAAGCAGTAAATCAAATGAAAATTTCAGACTGGGGTTGATTGAGCCTGTACATAAACATTTCCTACAAGTGACGATGACATGTCTGACAAATGTTGATTAATAATCTCTGTATTGTATTATTTATACTCTTGTACTGTCGGCGGGAATTCCATGGTAGGACCATGGATGACTGTGCTGTCGGCGGGTTTATCATGATAGGGCAATGGATGATTGTCCTGACGGTGGGTATTCCATGGTAGGACCATGGATGACTGTGCTGACGGCGGGTATTCCATAGAAGGGCCATGGATGACTGTGCATTCGGCCGGTATTCCTAGGTAGGACCATGGATGACTGTGCTTCCGGCGGGTATTCCATGGAATGAACATGGATGACTGTGCTTCCGATGGGTATTCCCTGGATGGACCATGGATGACTGTGGTGAAGGCGGGTATTCCATGGTAGGACCATGGATGCCTGTGCTTCCGGTGGGTATTCCATGGTAGGACCATGGATGACTGTGGTGAAGGCGGGTATTCCATGGTAGGACCATGGATGACTGTGCTGTTGGCGGGTTTATCATGATAGGGCAAAGGATGATTGTCCTGACAGTGGGTATTCCATGGTAGGACCAAGGATGACTGTGCTGATGGCGGGTATTCCATAGAAGGGCCATGGATAACTGTGCTGTTGGCGGGTATATCATGATAGGGCCATGGATGATTGTGCTGACGGCGGTTTTTCCATGGTAGGACCATGGATGACTGTGCTGACGGCGGGTATTCCATAGAAGGCCATGGATGACTGTGCATTCGGCCGGTATTCCCAGGTAGGACCATGGATGACTGTGCTTTCGGCGGGTATTCCATGGAATGAACATGGATGACTGTGCTTCTGGTGGGTATTCAATGAAGGACCATGGATGACTGTGGTGAAGGCGGGTATTCCATGGTAGGACCATGGATGCCTGTGCTTCCGGTAGGTATTCCATGGTAGGACCATGGATGACTGTGGTGAAGGCGGGTATTCCATAGTAGGACCATGGATGACTGTGCTGACGGCGGGTATTCCATGGTAGGACCATGGATGAGTATTCTTTCTGTTGACAAGCATTAATCACCATCATGAAACTGCGAAAGAGGTTAACCTTCCACTTTCTTTTAAACAAATGAAGCCATTGTTACAAGCTGAATTGTAATAAAACCGGAATTGTAATAAAATTATTGGTTAGGATGCAAACAAATTATTACATTTAGGTTGTCAACCTGAATTGTAATAAAACCAGAAAATGTAATAAACGGTCAAAACTCAAGAAAATGTGATAAGGAAAGTCTGTTTCACATACATGGTGTTTAAAAAAACGAATTTGGACTCGACATCGGAATTTTTACACTTGACCTTTACTGTTACTCCTACATTTTCCTTTATATTAAACAATCAACATTACTTATAACTGGTATTTAATGTTATTTTTTATTAGTAGATGGTTTGTATATTGGTTCTTTCTTTTTTGTTAGCTCACCTGAGCATATGCTCAGGGTGAGCTATTAGGATCACTCTTCGTCCGTCGTCCGGTGTCCGTCGTACGTCGTCCGTTGTCCGTTCACACTTTTCAAACGACATCTCCTCTGAAACCATAAGGCAGATCATAATGAAACTTCACAGGGATGTTCCTTGTGTGAAGCCTTAACAAAGTTGTTCAAAGAATTCCATTCCATGCAGAACTCTGGTTGCCATGGCAACCAAAAGAAAAAACTTTAAACATCTTCTTCTAGAAAACCCAAAGAGCTAGAGCTTAGATATTTGGTATGAAACATCTTCTAGTGAGTGTCTACCAAGATTGTTCAAATAAAAGCCCTGGGGTCAAAATTGGCCCCGCCCCAGGGGGTCATTGATTTTCCCTATATGCATATAGTAAAAACTTAAAAAAATCTTCTTTTAAAGAACCCAAAGAGCTAGACTTAAGATATTAAGCATGAAACATCTTCTAATGATTGTCTACCAAGATTGTTCAAATAAAAGCCCTGGGGTCAAAATTGGCCCCGCCCCAGGGGGTCATTGATTTTCCTTATATGCATATAGTAAAAACTTAAAAAAATCATCTTTTAAAAAACCCAAAGAGCTAGAGCTTAGATATTTGGCATTAAACATGTTCTAATGGATGTCTACCAAGTTTGTTCAAATAAAAGCCCTGGGGTCAAAATTGGCCCCGCCCCAGGGAGTCATTGATTTTCCCTAGATGCATATAGTAAAAACTTAAAAAAATCTTCTTTTAAAGAACCAAAAGAGCTAGACCTAAGATATTAAGCATGAAACATCTTCTAATAAGTGTCTACCAAGATTGTTCAAATAAAAGCCCTAGGGTCAAAATTGGCCCGCCCCAGGGGGTCATTGATTTTCCCTATATGCATATAGTAAAAACTTAAAAAAAATCTTCTTTTAAAGAACCCAAAGAGCTAGACCTAAGATATTAAGCATGAAACATCTTCTAATGAGTGTCTACCAAGATTGTTCAAATAAAAGCCCTGGGGTCAAAATTGGCCCCGCCCCAGGGGGTCATTGATTTTCCTTATATGCATATAGTAAAAACTTTAAAAAATCATCTTCTAAAAAACCCAAAAAGCTAGAGCTTAGATATTTGGCATTAAACATGTTCTAATGGATGTCTACCAAGTTTTTTCAAATAAAAGCCCTGGGGTCAAAATTGGCCCCGCCCCAGGGGGTAATTGATTTTCCCTATATGCATATAGTAAAAACTTTAAAAAATCGTCTTTTAAAGAACCAAAAGAGCTAGATCTAAGATATTAAGCATGAAACATCTTCTAATAAGTGTCTACCAAGATTGTTCAAATAAAAGCCCTGGGATCAAAATTGGCCCCGCCCCAGGGGGTCATTGATTTTTCCTATATGCATATAGTTAAAACTTTGAAAAATCGTCTTTTAAAGAACCCAAAGACCTAGACCTAAGATATTAAGCATAAAACATCTTCTAATAAGTGTCTACCAAGATTGTTCAAATAAAAGCCCTGGGGTCAAAATTGGCCCCGCCCCAGGGGGTCATTGATTTTCCCTATATGCATATAGTAAAAACTTAAAAAAATCTTCTTCTAAAAAACCCAAAGAGCTAGAGCTTAGATATTTGGCGTAAAACATGTTCTAATGGATGTCTACCAAGTTTGTTCAAATAAAAGCCCTGGGGTCAAAATTGGCCCTGTCCCAGGGGTTATTGATTTTCCCTATATGCATATAGTAAAAACTTAAAAAAATCTTCTCTTAAAGAACCCAAAGAGCTAGAGCTAAGATATTAAGCATGAAACATCTTCTTATCAGTGTCTACCAAGTTTGTTCAAATAAAAGCCCTGGGGTCAAAATTGGCCCCGCCCTAGGGGGTCATTGATTTTCCCTATATGCATATAGTAAAAACTTAAAAAAAATTCTTTTAAAGAACCCAAAGAGCTAGACCTAAGATATTTAGCATGAAACATGTTCTAATGGGTGTCTACCAAATTTGTTCAAATAAAAGCCCTGGGGTCAAAATTGGCCCTGTCCCAGGGGTTATTGATTTTCCCTATATACATAGAGTAAAAAGTTAAAAATCTTCTATTAAAGAACCAAAAGAGCTAGAGCTAAGATATTTAGCATGAAACATGTTCTAATGGATGTTTACTAAGTTTGTTCAAATAATAGCCCTTGGGTCAAAATTGGCCCTGCCTGGGAGAGGGGGGGGGGGGGCAAAAGTCATTGTTATTCATTATTTGTGTATAGTTAAAACTTAACATCATGAAATATCTTCTAATGGGTGTCTTCCAAGTTTGTTGAAATAAATGCCCTTTGGTTTAAACTGGCCCGGCCCTGGGGCCTATGTTCAGGTGAGCGACCCCATGGCCATCATGGCCCTCTTGTTGTTGATCTTAAAGAATTATTTTAGAAAAAGACAATTTTCACAAAGTTTTATTAGATTTTATGTTTTTATTGCATTTCATGTTGTCAGATCAATTGTAATAACTTTTTGACTGTTCAACTACTCTTGTAATAACTTTTTACACCAAGCAAGCAAAGTTACTTTATTGCTATTATATCCTTAGTAAAGACGATCTTCAAAAATATATTGTTGGAGGTTGTACAGAATAAAAAATGAAAATGCCTATTATCAGATAGCTTGTTATATTTCACGATGTTATTAGGCTTCAGATTGTTTATTTAAGATACTATATGGACAATTTTTATAACTATTATAAAATAATTATTGTTCTTAAAATGTATTATTCATACATGTTCAATACTGTTTTGCTGACATACTATTCTATAACGTGTTTCTACTTTTATGTGCTAGAAATATTAATGTCTCATTCATTTTGTCTATATTGTGAAACATCGAAAAAAGTTAATGTTATGTTTATATTTGAATTCAAGAAGAATCTAAATGTCATTGTGTCCAGACTTTTATTAATGATTTATTTAATTTATTGCAGAATGTACAAGAATTTTCGATATATGTATGAATTCTAAAGCTTTTCTTCAAGAGTATCTCTAAGTGTTTTGTTTTTGGTATCAATGCATGTTAAAGCTTAAATTATTTTGGAAGTTTGTTCAATATTCCCCCCTTACCCCTTAATTCTCTCCGTGCCAAGAGGCATGGACATTTGTCTTTTACATGTTCAGTTCCATCCCGCTTTGTTTCTTTCTACCTCCATCATTCGTCGCCACGTTGTCTTTGGGCGTCCCCTCTTCCTTCTTCCCTCAGGCGACCACCTTAGTGTTTCTATCTTCTTCGCCTGATCTCTTCACTAATGTTATATGCTTCTACCATCTCCAGTACAGTCAGGTTTGGTATGCGCTGTTGCCATCTGATCTTAAAGATCCTCCTTAGTCACTTTGTCTGG